TTCCCCCGCTCCGGCAGGACGGCGGCGCTCCGCCTGTCAGCACCCGCCGGCACTCCTCTCGGCGCCCCGGGGCCCGCCGCCCCCGAGGGCCACCTGTCCCCTTCCTCCCGCCTCCCCGCTTCCGCCCCGCCGCGGCCGGGCTCACTCACCAGCGTGCTCTCGGGCGGGCGGGAGGCGGCGCGGCCGCGGGGCCGGGCGGGCGGCGGCGGAGTGGGGCGGCGGCGGGCGGGGGCGGAGGGCCGCTTGTTTACTCCCGGGCCGGGGCGGCGAGCCCGGGAGCGGAGCGGAGCAGGCGCCGCTGGCCCCGGCGCCGCTCGCTGCACGGGCCCGGGGAGGAATCCCAGGAATGATGGAATTCTGCTGCTAGCAGGTGGGGAGAGCGGGGCGGCCCCATTGGCCGGGCCAGGCTATGAGGTCAGCATAATTAGGGTAATGAGGCGCTGACATCATATCCTCGCAGGTAGCAGAGCGCGGCGCGGGCGGCGACGAGGAAGCGGAGCCGCGGCCAGGCCCCGCCCGCACGGAGCGCCCCCACGGCGGCTGCGGGAGGCGGGGCGGGGCGGCACCCGCGGGGCTCGCGCGGTGGGGAAGGGCGGAGAGCAGGTAGGGACGGACGGCGCCCAGCGCTTCGGGAACTGTGGGAAACCGGCGGTTCTCTGGAGAACAAAGCCAAGCACGCCTAAAAGCAAACGCAGCGCACGCCTTTAGAATTAAAGCGTTCTATCAGGCGGCAGCTGAGAAAGTCGCTCACCGGCCCCCCTCGGCTCAGTGCGAGCAGCAGAAAGCAGCATTTCCAGCCCTGCAGCCCCCGGCCGCAAATCCCATTTGCCGATACTACAGCTCCGCATTGATTTCCTGTTTACGACTCATTACTCCCGAAGCGCGGTAGGTTTGTTGGTGGGAGCAGTTGTTTTTTTTTCCAAGTCCCTCCTTGCAGTTGCTGTGACTCATTCAGCCCTCTGAGAAAGTAGCCAAAAATCGACGTGTGAAATGAAAGCTGAGTGACTGCCTCGGTCGACAAGGAACTCTCCGACACATCCAGACCCCCAGAGCCGGGGCTCCTCTTTAGTTCCAAGCAGCCCATGTTAGTCATGGCCACCACGCACCCCTGCGCACCATCCACTCCTGCACCATCCCCCATGACCTGCAGGAACGCTCATTCCAAACCCCAAATTTTCAAGACTTGAGCGCTTCAGGAGCGTATCAACACACCAAGCCTGCCCTCAGTCATGTCACGAAATGAAGCTGTCAGACTCGTGCATATGAAAGAACCATTTATCAGAAGCTGAGATCATATGACTTACCAAGGATCAAACAGAGCATAAGCGCACTAATTAAAGACCTTACCTGATAAAACAACTAAGAGATAAGAAAACCCATCAACTCCAGATGCACCACGGGAGTCAGCACTGTGGTGATGTGGTGGGACCTGGAAAGGACACCAGGCAGCAGCAAAACATCTCAGTACAGTTATGCGCATGATATTTCTTAGTCAGCTCATGCTTCCTTCTCTCAATGTGACAAACATATATTCTAACACATGCATAAAGAGATAAAAAGCAGCACAGCTGTCTTTCTTTACTGAAGGGGGAAGAAAAAAAAAAAAAAAAAAAAAAAAAAAAAAGCACCAAGATAGTGGAAGATTTATTTTAGCTTCTGAAAACGGTTCTTAAGCACAAAGGAGGGGAGGAAGCACAACTCCCACACTTACACAGCACGGCCACCAATGCAGAAGCCCCACCAAGTGGTGTGGGGAGGATGCATGGAAACAAACGGCCAGAGGCAAACCCTGCATCCTGATCCTGCATAAGTCAGAGCCTGTGATGGGGCTGTGCTCACCAACTCCAATTTTAAAATCTGTCAAAATCATGCAACTGATATTGAAGCCTTTTCATATCCTTGCAAGGACAAGTCATGAGATCTCAGGGCCACCAAAAGCTAGCCGTAAATGCATTCCAAACACTAAATGAACTCCAGATTCAGACTAAGCACTTAGTATATCCAATGGACTGATTTCAGTGGCTAAAAAAGTGAAAGGCAAGAAGTATGACAAACGCTATTTTATACGTCTTTAACTGTTAACCTATGATATTTATAACAATATAGGATAGTAGTTACAGGTTGGTTTTTGTTGTTTTATTATTTTGATATTTTAATACTGAACTGGAAAGTATTTTCACTGCCAGGAAGAACAGGAATTTTATTTTTTAATTTTTGGAAAAATGGTAGTCAAAATAGTGATGTAGAAAAAAACATTTAAAGCACCAAACAAGAAAAAAAGACTTTGAACTAGGGAAAACAAAACCGCAGGCACTGAGAAAAGATCTCAAATAGACACTGGTAAGTATCATGAGGATGAATTGCTGTAGACTAATTACAAACCTTTTCAATATGTATCTTCAAGGAAAAAGTACACCACTCCTGTTTACAACTGCTGGAGGGGAAGAAGGAGGAAAAGTTTCTTTGTTAAGGAGAGCTCCTGAGATGAGGAGGAGCCTGAAAAACAGAGGTCAAAACAGCTTTTGATCCTTGCATATGCTATTACAGCCCCCAGCAGAAGTTTTAGAAGAGTATTTATTAAACCATCTAAGGAGTCTGAGGAAACATCAGCCTCTGGGGAAGATGACCCTATGCATTCCTGCACAAACACTGCTAGTACAGACAGACTTCACCACTGAAGTTAGGCATCAGCAGTTGTTGAAACAACAATTATAAAAAAAAAAGAACAACTGTTAATTGTCAAAGCTGGAAATCACCAAAAACAAATCGTAACAGCTATCAAACCATAAGAGAAACTTGTTTAAGGCACTGAACTCAACACATGCTAATATTTAGCGAAGCTGTTTAAAGGCAAATTCACAGATTAGTAAATCAAAAACAATCTTGTTTGATGAACAATATTTTGGCTTGCTTGGGTGTTACAATTTGTTTCTCATTTTGCACATACTTTGCAAGTAAATGGTATCAAAGGCTCTTTGCTGACTAAATGCCAGCAGAAACCAAACTTTGCTGAAACACGAAAACTGACCGAGACAGCTGACAGTTTATACCTGAACTCAAACGAAAAATTTCAACCGGAATTTGGGCACCCAATAGAGAGCTTAAGGTGTGACTCAAATCCCACAACAGACCACAGTTGAATGGACACCTGTTCTTCCATGTGTATTAATGACTGAAAAGTGATAAGTGGGAAGGGGGTGGGGAGAGGAGGTAGTGAAATTCCAGTGGAATGACACACAGTGTTACTTCTACACTCCATATGCCAGTGCAACAGAAGACTTACCTGAGGGATCCAGAGCAGTGAATGAGGACTGGAAGCAGGCAGCTGAGGCACAACTCTATGGCACACCTGTGGACTGGGAGGAACCAGCAGACAAGAAAAGCGATTTCAAGTCAAGAGCTATGAGTGCATTCCAGTTACAGCAGTACTACCTAGATTTTCTGCTCAGGAGAATGCTTGTCAGCCAAAGATTTGCTGCCCTGAACTTGTGTCAGCCCACGGTCCCTGAGCCCTCTAAACAGGTAGAATCAGCTCAATTTGCCAAGAAGCTACTACTTCATAAGCAGCACAACCTGCTTTCTATGTACACTAAGAAATTTCCTGGAACATTTACCATTGCTTCATAGCTTGTTTTAAGGTGTTTAGGAAAAAAAAAAAAAAAGAAAGAAAGAAAGAAAAAAGCTTCCTCCCTCGCCAGAAAAAGCAGAACAGAAAAAGGGAAATATATCAAACAGCTGTAGTCATACACAGGGAGATCTGATGTCCTAGCTCTGCAGACTCTCATTAATCCTGTAATTATTATTGAAATTAAGCTTAACATCTGTTCCACAACCAAGTGAGAAAATAAAACGTTTCCACAGTAATAACAGTTGGTTAAAAATGCCGTGGGCAAGTACTTCCTTACATGTGGATCACAGCAGTGATATGTCTTACTACTGTCAGTGACATTAATGTTAACTAGACAGGGATACTCAGTGTGGAATGAGGCTCAAATCTGCTTTTGTTAAACCATTTTCAAGTGATTTCAGCTTATAAAAGTTACTAGTAGCAGGGGGTACACGTTGTGCTGTTTATTGAAGAAACACCCAACTCTGAAGAGATGGAGCTTTTTTCTTTAGGTGCCCATAGCATGCAGTAATTTGCCAGCAGGCATTCACTGCATGTTAAAGAGGAATTATCTGACTTCTTCCAGCTCCTTGCTCCAATTTCACTTTTGCTTTTTTGAGCAGCAGCAGTAAGAATACTTTCCAACACCACAGAAATACATGAAGCTACCTCAAGTCTGAACAGAAGGGTAAGATGTACTAGGAGAAACACAGCACAAAGATAATTAAGTCTGTGCCACAAAGCAAACACTTTTTCCAAAGCTATCACAGAACAACACTATACAAAGATCTCTCTGAAAGTAATACCTCCTATTTATTTCCATGGAAACTATAATAAATACAAAGAACATGTGTTATATGGTAACAAACCGTAATTAAACATTGATGGGAAGGTTCAACCTCTACAGCCATATCACCAACATCCACCTCTGAAGTGGGGGAGTCAACATAAAACGGGAGGCATTACTTTCAGAGCAGGCCTGTACATATCACAGACTACATAAGGAGTGTTATTCATTCACAGTATGTCAGTACAGTCATAATGCATACATCTATTTATATCTTCTTTAAATATTTTTTTTAATCAATGACAGCATCTCTTAAAACCATGTCAAAATACATTTTTATCTACAACAAATTACACAGCCTCACAAGCAAACAGACTTTCTTCAATGCCAAGACTGCTATACTTTGAATCTCAAGCTCCTCTCTGTAAAAGTTTGCTTGCGCTGCATCTCAAAGCTATCATGTGAGAACACATCCAAATTCAAAACAACATGCCACATAAGATTTTAAGAGACGCTAATTTTTTCAAAGATAGTTTATTATTTCATTAGAACATAATGTGTTAAATAGCAGTAATTCCAGACAGACTAGTCGATCCAAACTGTGAGTTGATGGAGTTGGTTATTTATTACCTGCTTCAAGACAAAGCTTGCCCTCTTCATTATTGTCTGCCCCATCATCCAAAGGAAGATTAAAAGAGACTCTGTAATTTCAGTTGGAGCAGGGTCAGAACAGAAGCACAATCTTAAAGCAAACAGTAAAATACTTCCCGAGCTGAACAGAAACATGAGCACCACTAACTGTTGTTTCAGAACATTTAACCACAGGTACTTTTGCTTGCTTTGTTCCAGGAAAGAAGATTGTACCCTATGGTGATTCCCATAAGATGAAAAAAGATGAGATACCTAAGCAGAAAAAGGAGTGTCAGATTGACAGATTAAAAGCACTCTTCAGCATTAACCCACTGGTTTTAATTTGTAGAAGTTTTGTCCAAGTTCATTAATAATGATAAAATGGACACAAATGGTTCACTGCAAAACCCTGAGTGATAAACTCAGTACAATCAGTGATACACAGATGTAGTTACATATTCAGAATAAGTTATACATTTTTCCCTGATTTTTCTCCCCTACTTGTGCAGTTATCACATGCATCTAATAGATTTCACTTCCTGTTAGGTTCTTCTTACAATTTTCTCAGATAAAAAAACAAATTTTAGCAAATTTTATTTTTAACTGGGATCACTAAAATAATGAACAGGTTACATTTCATGATCAGATGCAAAATTGCTTTGAGCTTATGTACTAAATCAGTGTAAACTACATAATTTACATATATTTCAAAGCTGCAAGAAAAAGTTTTTAGTCAACAGAACCGTTTCTAAATCAAAGACACTACCAGCAAATTACTAGATAAAAGTAACCTGCTATTGGAAAGATTCCTACCGAAATTACTAGAAAGCTAGAAAGGAAACAGAGATGCATCTTTAAATGATTAAACTAAGGATGAGGGTAAGAGTTTGCCATAAGCATGCAGAACCTCCTCATCCAGGATGTGTATGTCTCAACGCCAGACTTGTAAGGCAATTAAAGAAACGAGATCAACGAGACTTCAGTATGAAAATAGCTCAATTTTAAAAAGCCTCCCCTCAGAACGCAGTGCACTCCAACAGGGTCATGAGATGAGACACTGGGAGAGATGAGACATCGAGAGGATTCTGAAATCGGCTCCTCCCCCCTCTCCTGCACCCCTCTCAAGGCATTCAAAGCTACTGACTTCTTGGCTCTCAGTCTTGTCTTCTACAGGGACCGAGCCAGACGTTTCATCACTGCTAAGAGCAAGATAATTTGAGGATGGCAACATGAAGGAAAAAAAAAACACCACCACATACTGAATGTCTCCTTCTCATGTTTCACTACTGATTTTAAAATAGGAGGTTTGGAGAAACTTTGGCAGGAGACAGAGATTAAAAAAAAAAATCCACTCTGTGGGAACACAGCCTTCCACATTTACCGAGTAAACCAATAGAGCTAAATAGGCTCAGTGTAAGAGAAGTAATACAAATTAATTCAATAAAGCTAAAATGACACATTTAACTTAATGGTTTACTTAGTTCAGGGGAATAGAGGAGGTGCTTTAAACATGAGGCTCAAGACTTTCAAAGAGGGCCTGATGGTACAAAAAAAAAAAAAAAAGACAGGTGAAGGAAGCAGGAGCCAGAACGTTATGTACAATTTATTGACTTCTAACAACAACCCCTTATGGTTGCAGCAGCTAAGAACCAAATTCTATTCAAATTTAAAATCAGGAAGAACCCTCATGATAGCCATTCCATTTGCATGAAGTTTCAGACATACCAGAATATTCATCGTTGCAGCTGCATGACCTTCATTTTCTCAGAAAAATATGAGCAACTGTCAAAACAGCTATCCAACACTGATGGGAAGGTTGTGGCAGAGCAAGGGATTGTGAAGGTAAAAGTGACACCAAGTTCTTAGGCTAGACTTAAAAGATGTAACTGAGATATCTGTTTATACATGAACAATGTAACTGTACAGTCTGAAGCTTCACCTTCATGTACTAAAACTGAACTCATTTCTTTTCTGATTTAAAAAGCCTGAATAAACTGTTAAAACATGCAGGAATAAAACACAGCCTCTTCTCTAAAGCAGGCAGGATCAGTTAACAGCCATGTTGTAGATTTTTATCTAGAAAACAAAAGGTAAACAAGGTCACTTGATACTTTGGTTTCATAACAGAGAGAAGGATCAGCTGTTTACCCAGACTAAAAAGATACCATAAAATAGCTATACAAAGGTAATGTCTCTTCTTCCTGCAGTAGATAATACAAAGACAGCTAACTGTCCACACATTTGCAATATATGGCCAACAGAAGTGACCTCAAAAATAAAGAATGCTTTGTCCCCTGTAAACACCTTACCATTAAAAACTATCAGACACACACTGACCTGACATTCTGACCTTTAAAGCATATTTCAATTTCAATTCTATTTTTAAATTAATTGCTGGGAAAAGGCATGAGTCATAACCCTGGTTGGATCCCCCCCTACTGGATACTCACCAAGTGCTATGTTTGTTCTAAAGTTCCCTGAGGCAGAACAGGCTCCAGTATTATCTCTTCAATCAATTAAAAAAATAAAATAAAATAAAATAAAAAGGACCTTAGGGGTCAGCTCCCTAAACTGTCTGGGAATACTGGCCTCCATATCCACCTGTATCTCACCAGTTGGGCAAAGATGTTTGTTGCAAACATCAGAAAGCTATGGGATACTACAGAGGTCAGGCCTATAAAAGAAAGAAACCACACTTGTTCAGCTGTGTGCTACCTAGAGGCACCTTGTTTATGATAAGGCTGTTCCAATCCATCTGTCAGTCAAGTTAGCCAACAAGCAAGCTGAACCAAATGTAAAGAGAAATCACCCTGAAGTGCAGATGAGAAATACAGTGTCTACAATTGAAACAAAGTTAAATACATTAAAGACAGCCAATATTTGAAGGGTAGTACAGCCAGCCACCTGGAGAAATTTACTATTCAAATACTTGGGAAAAGGGGAAATAAAGTGATTAAGAACACATCTTACACACACTTATGGATAAAGTCAGCACCTTGTGTGGCACAATTTTACGCACTCACCAGCTAAGAACAGCCAAACATCATAATGCTAGTCAAATGGGTTGCTCAGAACTAAAGGCAAGTTAATAAAAAGACTCAACATCAAGAAGAAAGACTGTAAAAAGTGGAAACAAATCTATGGGTTATGCACCCGGTCATATTTTTATTCCCCATTCATCCGGGGTTGTGCAGTTCATTTCCTCTGAAGCATGAGATGAAGTTACACTCCACTGGCACTGTCCATCTCAGAGCCAGCCAGGCCCACAGTGCTGACTCACCTATGGAAATCCTTGGTACTTTGATTGGGCCCAGGCTCTTCAGCACAAAGACGCCTTTTAAACATCAAGAAATAAATCATGTCCAGAAAAAGAGAGGATGGAGCATGAAACAATATCCACAGCAGAATGGCCAAGCCAGAAACGAGGGGTGTCTGAAGAACAGAACAAAAGGCTTGTGAATTAATTCAAGAACAATTAAAAAAATAAAGCAATATGGAAACAGAGCAGGGAGGTACAAACAGGAAAGTTACAAATGGAATGAAAAGCTGGTGTGACTATTTTCACAAAAGAACAAACACACTGCACTGTGACAGAGTAACATTCTCATGTACTAACTTCCCATGCAACTAGTGATTTTAGTGAATTACAGCTGCACGACCATAAGAAATCACTTCCACATACTGTTGGGAAACTTCAAAAGCAACTAGCATGTCTGAAATCAATCTCTCTTCTCTTAAAAGTTTTACATAGCATAACACTGTAACAACCGCATGAAGTATTTTATATTAACAATAGAGAGGAGTTCAGACTGTAAGCTGCTCTGGGCTATGATTCATTCATGGCTCTCTGCCAGAAAAATAAATACATTCAAGACCAATGGCCTCAAGGGGAAAGGTAGGCCACTTTTTAAAAAGCACAGAGATAAATGATTTACAGAACAGAATACAGTTTAAGATTTCAGCCTATATGGATTATGAGGAAGAACTTCACAAAGATTTACTACACAGAGTTGAATACTGGCAGTGTATCAACAGATGGAGTAAACTAGGAACTATTAAACTGGGATTTGCAAAACTCTCCCTAAAGAGCATGAAATGACCGGTTATATTGCTGTACACAAAGAAAGTTCACAAAGCCAAATCAAGATAGGCAATGGGTATTTTGTCCATGCAAGACAAACACAGCCAGTTCACATTACAGGCAAACTCCGCAGTAAAGAAACACCTGCACAGTGAAAGACCAATCCACCAGCACACAACAAACAGTTTAAAGGCTGGAAGGGTTTGATGCTGTACAACATCTGCTGCAATATAAAGTTTAATTAGCTACTAACAGCAAGCAGTACATCCTTATTTTTCTCAAAAATATATATATATATATATATATATATATATTTCTTGATTAAATGCCCTTGTTAGCTAGCAATGTTCAGAATTAAGATACCTCTGCTGTACAACAGGAGCTAAGGTCAATTCATTCTTACACATCACATTGACTTATAATTGTAATTTTTTGAACCACTACTTCACATTAGCAAGCACCTTCTAAGACAGCAAAACCATTTCTAGATTTCTTACTTTAATATTCAGAACTTCATATTTTATTGGTTAATTTTAATTATTATATTTATATGTATTTATACAATAATCATATTTAATTGGCCAATGGTTCTACAAGAAAACTGTTCTCTTCAATGCTTCAGCAGAGTTACAACTGCATTTCATCATTTAGAAGTTCCTAGATTAACTGCTGCTCATTCCCAAACTTAGCAGTAATGAGAAATTTAAGCCTTTAAGAAACACTGAGCATCTTATAATCCATGATGCACTGAAAAGATGTTCCATTTAAAGCTCAGAAGGTGCACTTCTCAACTTAAAGAGCCACAAACTCAAGGTAACAAAAAAAAAAAAAAAAAAAAGAATTAAAAAAAAAAACTATTTATTCCCTTCATAGTGCAGCCATTTCCCAACGGATCATGAATGTCCAACAATATTCATACAGCACACCATTTATTTTACATTTTTAAACTTCTGTAAATTCAAGCCCAGTCCTTATATTTGTTAGATCCAGAAGGGAATTAAATACTTATTTAAGCAATGGTAAGTATGCATGCACTTTAAGTCAAGCATGTGACTAAATGCTCTGCTTGTAGGAATTCTCAACCAGATGTTAAGCAATCTCATGACACATGATCTCTTTCAACCAGAGTTTGCAGCAACAGTAATTTATGAGCTAGTGGTTTTGCATCCCGTGGTACTGTTATTTAACCAAGCTTTAAAAGCCCCATCTTCACCTTTACACAGGAAGAAAGTACAAAAATAAAGACGCAGGTTGTCAGGAAGGTTTTGCCCCATGGTATTACTTCCCAGTATGGCTCAAGATCTAAACCTTCACATAACTGCAGTACTACAGGGGAAGGGAGCTCCTTAAAATGGAAGGGCATCTCGTTTTGCCGCTGATCACTTTTTAATCGGGCCATATTGCTCATTCATTCTGTGGGTCAGTCACTGCTTCACCTGTGGACTACAGATGATTTTCTTCCCCTTCAGTTTGTACATTTTTGTCTTGCACTAAGAAAATTTGGGATTCTAGCTGGAATGATAATTATAGAAATGTAACAGTTACATTTTCAGAGTGAGGAGATGAATGACACAGAACTTTAGCTCCTAGCCTTAATTATCTAATCACACATTCAGTGGTATACATTGAATAATTTCCTAACAATTTCATGTGCAGTAACTGGAATTTCTAGAAGCAAAGTTAGCTGTTTTTCTACTTTCAGAAATTTTTTTCAAAAGATGACTACAGGAACAGAACTTACACACGAGAACATAATTTCACTAAAATTCATCAAATCTGACAAGGACAATGGTGAGAAAATGATATACTAAACCATTATTCATTGTAGGCTTTAATTTAGTGGGTTATTTGCATACTAAGCCCTCCAGTAGATGGTGGCTCTCTTCCTCCCAATAATACAGAGGACCATATTAAAAATTTACAAACTGCTGGTGTAAAAACGGGTCTTGGCTCACAGACCTTCCCATATGCAATTTTCCCTATTGCATACTTTCCTTGGAACAAAAAATAAAAGCTGTTGCCTCATTAGATGAATGTATCAGGCCGTTTTGACAACGCTGCACTTCTCACTTGGCAGCTAGCTCATTCAAAAAGCCATGGCTCCCTTCCGAATTCTTTCTCGTGCTGTTCCTGTGTCCAAAAGCCTTCTATCCGTCAGGGTGCATTTCTACCACCAGCATCCATATTCTTTGTTCTCAAGAATTTTCCAAACATACAACTAAGTCAGTCATTATCTGATTTTCTTTTAACTACGGCGTATGTAAGAAATATAAGAAATAAGAAACTGTATGACAAGTTCAAATTCTCATTGCACACAAATTCCACTTTGAAGTGGATACGGTGTACTTTGTATAAAGCACTTCTAGATTATCCACAAAGGATCTCTTCATGCAAGCAAAAAAAAAAAAAAAATCCAACCAAAAACCAGGGTTAATTTCAGCAGTGGTTAAAATGCCCTAATCTTTTTTTTTTCCTTCTCCAAATCAGGGACTTTGGCCTCTTAATAGAGATGCAGAATACCATCTACACCAACATTGGTTTGCATTTCTGTAACTTCTGCGGAACAGAGCAGCACCAGGACAGCCAGCCTCCTAAGATCACGAAACGGACATAAAGGGTTTTGTCTTACAAACTCTAGATCTACTACCAACTGATGAGCAGTAACATGTGAAGAACGTCCTATGACTTCAGAAAGAGACTATTCCACTTCAGTATTTTTCTCAAAAAAAATAAAAAAAAATCTGAAGATTATTCAACTTTTGCCATTTTAAGATGATCCATCCTCAGAAGTCCCCCCATCACTGATGCAAGCCTTAGTCAGTCACATTAAATAGTACAGTTTTTCCATATTTTTTACATTTATGCTTTGAACTGATCCCTGAAAACCACAGCCAATTTCATTCCAATAATGTTTCATAAAGTAAGATCACCGAAACAAGTGAACCTTGAGAAATACCTTGAGCAATGGCCCTACCAACCATACGATGCACAAGAAAAAAATATATGCTAATAAGGAAAGATATATTTCCACTTTTTACTTTAAAAAGAAAATTGTCATTTTCACAAACAGAATGAAAGTGTTCTTTCAAGTTACATTAAGAATAACATCCAAAGTTGCCCCACCTGCCAAGAAGTACCAAAAAGATCCTATTTACAACAGATGCTTCAAATCTATTGTGTCACATATCAGCACTGCCATAAATTTCCATTCCTTAATGGTATCACAGATGTGATGTAAGAATTCATGTGATGGTCCAACTTCTTCATCACAACTCATTTAATTGAGCAAGTGTGAACAGGTTTTATACTTGTGGACATGATTTTCACAAGCCAAAAAAAGCCAATGAATTATAGAACAGGTATTTTTTTCCATAAAATTCCTGATTTTAAAGCATTTTGATAAAATCCTTTCATAAAAAACATTTCATAAATGTGCAAGTACATGCTGAAGGTGAAGAAAAGTATGACTTCCCTTACAACCATGACACCTCTAACAATGCTTAGCTACGAGTTAGGCAGTTGTCACCTGAACCTCGTTTAAAAGCAGATACAAATTTTACCAAATGAACTTGACAAGCTTCCCGGGCTTTTCCTGAGGTCCAACCTGCAGACAGACCCATCTCCAAAAAGAAAATAATCTAAGAATGAAATTGCAAGCATGGAAATAAATACATTTAAAGCTCTACGGACTCTCCAGTTCTGTCTCTGAGAGAACGACACCTTAAGAACACTTCAAAAGACCCCTGGTGACATTTACAAAAAATAGAGCTATCGATACATACCAAATAAATGGCTTTGGTTTTTATTGTATGTACAATTCATCACCTTCACTCAAGGTTTCTAAAAATTCCTTGAAAACGTAATTCATATACACTGTAAAAATTTATTTCAGTATTTACACAGTAATTCCTTTGCCATCGAATCTCCCCTCTAATAAAAAAATTCTACTGCAGTAGTAAAAGTGGACAGGGAAGCTATTTGAACCGGCTTCTTCAGTAGACTTTCATCTTTGCAAGAGGGCTCAGCAACACCTGCAAAACATTTGGAGAAAAGGAACCCTTGTTTACCCATACGCCAAGAGTCAAGGTGTCTTCTTTAACCATCCTTTTGTCATTTTATACAATTTCTTCATACTGTAAGTTACAGATTTCTTTGCCCCTTAAAAAAAGGAAAAAAGACAAACATCAGAAAATATCAAAATTCTGGAAAGTTAACCCACATAACAGATTTTCAGTAAATTAACTAAAATATAAAGAATGACAATATCCTAAAACATCACGCAGACATGCAATAATCCTGCAATAACCTTGTCAGTCTTAACATGGTAAATAATGGCAGAAAAACAGTTCTAATACCATCAAAGCACACAAAAAATAGGATCATTCTGAAGGCCTGACAATGTTACTCAAAAGCACATACACAGAACAGGTGTAATATCTGTATAGATACATTTCAGAACTCCCAACCCAGTCTGTACTGATGGAAACATCTAAAACACAGCACTACCAAAATGTTCAGCATCTAAAGGCTTTTAAACCACCTCTGTCTGCCGCACACCCTCACCAAACCAGTATGCCATACTTTTCAACCCCTCCCTAAACTATTACTAGATAGCACACCTAGCTGAGTAGGATCATATTCCAGACTAGTAATGGACACCAGCAATTCAGTAACCTTCTATTATGCAGCTGGACACAGAACTATTTTAGAAGGATTCAGACCATTAGGCACACACGCTAATTAACAGAGCACATCTGTGATAGGAATTTATTCATTGAAACACGTCACTGGAGACCATCACCACATTGTGCAGATCAGATTAGGGCTAATCCTCAAGAACCAGAGCTACACCCAAAGCTGGGAAGCCAAAGCTGTGCTGAATAGATAACGAGGAAGAAGAGAATGAGAGGTGAACCAGAAGACAGACAGGACAAAGGAACAGTCTGCTCAAGCAAGACAAGAGTACATGACTGGTTGGCAAGTTCCATGCATCCAAATGCTACTTCACCAATTTTTCTAACAAGATTTTAGTTAGCCTTGCCTGATGCTGCGCTGAGTCTGAGAAGCACTCAGTTGCTGTGCTGTAAAGTTTCTAAGTGCAACTTCACAATCCTACAGCTAGAATTTAGAAGCATCACACTGATGCCCATCTTGATTAGACAGTCAAACACTGCACACCACAGAAAGTTTCCAAAATGTCAGTTCAGCCCCTATGGAGAAACAGCCCCAGAGCACTGCTACTGAAAGGCTTGCAAATAAGTGGAAAAGAGTATTGTTTCTTCATAGGAAACGTGCTCCCAGCTTCTGGGGTGGAAATCTGTTCTGGTTTCAACAAGTTGTAAAGTACACGATAACTTTCTTGACTATTTTGTTATTGCTTCATCCTAAGTAATGGCAGCTACCATTGCATAACTGAGGGAATAATGCATCTGCAAGAAATCAAATCTACTCAGCTTGCACAATGAAACAACATCTGTGTCCTTAGGTAAAAGCATCAACACTGAAATGATGATGGCTCTGGAAAACCATAAAGCACGTACCCAGATGAACTGAAGCATCATAAAATGAAAAGCAAAAATAACTGTAAGATGACAACAGAAGGCTACAATTTGGCAACACTGCACAGACCTTAAGTATGCTATGGACTTCAGTATAAATAGTCTGGCACAAGGATCTTATCTGGAACAATTCTGCTTCAGAGAACTTGCCTAACTCTTATTTATAATATACCTCATATTAAGCCAGTGTATCTGTAATATTCTAATACCAGCCTGCAGATCCCCACAGAGCTTTGGTAAACAACATGCCCTTACTCTTGGCGTACAAAGGCAG